TTAAAGGTGAACTGTGGGAAGTTATTAATGGTATCTATAATCAAGGATTAATCAAGTAAATCTCTCTAGTCAAGAGCCTCTTGCTGCACTGAGAGCATACGGATAGAAATGATGGCAGTGGTGAACTTTCATGTGCAAACAGCACTAAAATGGTGCCTGGAAGCACACTCTGCATTGAAGTGGCTCTTTTCCCTTCCACCTGAGCTGATGTGAGGTGCTGCTGGTTGTGTAATGTCTGAGCAGAGACACGCTGAAGAGTTTTTATTCCACTACCTCTTGAAATCAGAAGGGGGAGAGTAAAGCCGTATTTCTTCTCAAGGAGTGCCTTTGGGTTACTTGTAACACAGCACAAGTCTACACAGTAGTTTAAAGAGCTAAAAATGTAAGTCTTCAAAAATAGTGTTTGATGGTTCATAGCACAGCTCAGGGAAGATGTTGAAGCTTTTCTGAGAGTGGAACCTTCAGGAGGTATTCAGTGTTTGAGCTAATGCTTCTGTGCAAGGTATCAGGTCAAGGATTTATTAAGGCAAGAAGGAAATCAAGTGAATTTGGCCTTAATGTAACTTCTGGGTCCTGGACTAGGCTGTTATTTTGCTGTTCATTGGTATTTTTAGGCATTTCTTTATCTGCCTTTTAAGGGGCCTCAACCCTACCTTTGCTTTCACAGCTGGAAAGAATTGTGGGAATCATTCGAATGGTGAAAATGCCATATATATGTATAATAATCTAAATATATGGTATCTCACAGGCATTTTTATATTCAGATTCCATGTGCAGAGGGTGATTTCTGGTATGAGGAATACCAGAGAGAAAATAGGTGCAAGTCCCTGCATGCCATATAAACACAAGGGGGTTTTTGGCATGGACTTTCCTCTCTTGTGGAAGCCATGGAGCCCTCTTATAGCAAAAGCTCTGGCAGCTGCTAAATCCTTAACCTGGTCTTGTTAATATCTGCTTTGGATCTGTTAAAAACACCAGTGGCTGGTTGTAGCTCTCTTTGTACACGTGTTTCCAGTGTTATTACCATTGAGGGACTGAAAAAAAAACCATCTATAAATAGAATAAAAAGAAATAAAGCTATAAGCAAATGTAGCTGTTGGACACATTCCCCGACATGTAACCTGTGTGCTTCTGGCACGCCTTGGTTCAGTTGTGTCTATTCCATATGACCAACTTGAAGGGTCTCTTCATTCCTCCTGCATTTACCTATGCTCAAAGAAAAATAAATGGGAGAATTGCAAGCTTGTGACCACTTGGTCTCAGCTCTCCAAGGCTGAGGTACCAGTATGGTACTTCTTGATTGCTCTAAGAGCATCTTGAAAACATTATACTTCTTCCTAGGAGGATACTTGAAATTATTTTTATACAGAGGCATTTTCTTTGTCTAATGGGATATTGAAATTGCTTTGCAGTTCTGTTTGAGGAGTTAGAATTCCTCTTCCATGCAGGATCCACAGTTTATTGTTTCTCTGTGGAAATCCACGTGCACGTAAGAAGTGACAGACAAAGTATATGAGAGCTACTCAGGCAGGACAAGGTAGGGTAGAGAAATGCTTCTGTGCTGCATGTGCAGCAACAGCTAATTTGGGAGATGCGATGGTGAAGCACCTGCCAGATTAGTGTGTGTATTAAACCTGAGCCAAGCTCAGCTCAAAACATCCCCCAAATCCAAATCTCTTCCCTTGGTTTTGGAGCAAGGTAACAGGGAAACACAGAAGTGGATTGTACATTCTCAATTGATCATGTACCAGCAGATGGTTAAAAGGAACCCCTCAAATGCTCTTAAGGCAGTATATTCCTGCTAAGTGATTATTTGGATAATTCATGTCCCACTACTGCACCTTCTGATGATGTGAAAGCAGCTTTATGGGTTGTGACTTTGTGGTGATGAGCACTAGAGACTAGTGGGATTCATATTTTTCTAATTGTTATTGCTTGGACATTGATTAAACTTCATTTAAGGACTTTTAAAGGATTCTTTCGTCAAGCTTGGCTGGTTTATAGGTGTGAGCCTGAATCTCTCAATGAAACCAGTGCTTTTCTGCCAGCTCTGTTCCTGTCTGCTGCTGGCGTGGTGAGTCCTTTGTGCCTCAGTTTCCTTTTCATGTGAAACACACCTGTGCTTTTGTAAACGTTTGCTTTGAAAGGGTGTGGGTAGAAATCACACTATTTAATCCTATTGTTTGTGCATAACCTTACACAGTGACTCTGCAGGACTATGTCTGTGGCCTCCAGCCAGGCTGAGGTCTGCAAAGGGTGTCAGAAGAGTCAGTGAGTGGGAACTGGGTGCCCTGTTTCTCTGGAAATCCTAATCACATATGGAAAGCATCGTGAGTTCCCAAGGGAGTTTCATTCATTCAAGTTTGCTGCTAGTAGAGTTCATGTTACATGAGGAAACCACGATTCCTGACCTCCGAGTTGAAGGCATGTTTTTAAAAGCAGAGATGGGCCAGAAGAAAGAAGAATAAATATACTTCTTTATAAGGGCTTGCCAAAAGGGAATCTACAGGCTGCAAATTCTCACATCAAACTTTCTGAGAAGTGATTGAATCAAATTGTTTTTCAGGGGCTTATGTTAAAAGCACACTACATTGTTTCTGACAGTTGTAGGGTAATTCTGTGGTTTTCAGCTCTTCCTAGAGCAAACAAGACTCATCTTGAGGAAGCAGCAGGTTATTTTCAGATTTACTTTAATGGAGAGCTGTCTGGTAAATGCCTTTTAGAAGACTCACAGCCCCATCAATGCAACAGAACTCCTAGAGTACAGAAAAGCAAATATTTACAGAGCAGGTTTATTTTGGGTGGAGGCTGGATATGTAACATTGGAGTTGGTTTAGTTGTGATAAGCCTGATGTGAACACTGAGGAAATATGAATCGTGGCCTTATTTAAAGGAGAAAAGAACTGTAGCTAGTTTGTTCATTGTCTGTGGGAAAGAGAACAGACTTCCACGTGCTTATTATTAATGTCATGGTGCTGTGTGATGTATGCTGTGGGTTGGGGTTTGTTTTTAGCTTCTTGCCAAGAAGATAGAGCCGGGCTCTTCACTGTGCTGTGTGGCTGGAAGGTGAGAGGCAATGGGCTTCTGTTGAAACAAGAGCTTCATATGGGTGTAAGGACAAACTTCACCATGAAGACAGTGAGGCAGGGTTGCCCACAGGGGCTGTGCAGCCTTGGGGGACTTCAGCACCTTCTTCTGACCTTGGTTTTCCAATGATCCCAGGTATTTGGCTCATGTGATTGTTTGATTGAGGCAAGGGCTCTGAAGGGGTGATGGGAGAAGTATTTTTATCGCATGAGCCACGTCAGTAAGAGGTTTATGCCATGTACAGCAAGATGCTTACACAGTTTTGAACTGTGAACAATTAGTTTCAGAGGTCCTTGGGAGAACTGGTACCCCACAGAATGCAAAAATGCTACAGCAGAACTTGCCTTGAAAAACTAATGCAGAGCCCACCCTGAGAGCAGCTCACGCAGGTGTAATCTGTTTCTCATCGCATTTGCTCCATAGAATCCTGGTGTGGGAGATGGAGCACCAATAAAACACAGTTCACATCACCCATTCAAACAAGGAAGCTGAAAGGACTATGTCAGGTCCACGGAACACATTCAAATCCAGAGGGGCTTCCCTGCATCCTCTGGAAACGTAACCCTGTGGTTTTGCTTCGTTATCTGTACATGTGGCCCAAGCAGGGTGATGGTGGTCCAGTATTAATGTACTGAAGTGTTAGTGGAAAGCCTTCCACTGTATCAAGTGGATTTTGAATCAGACCTGAGCAACAATATGAGATTCCTCATGAAAAAAAGAATAGTTTAGGGATTAAACTGAGACTGAATTTTTAGGGCTTACAGCCTGTGAAGTGAGAGAGGGAGGGAGGGGTTCAAACAGTGAGGTATAAATTAAAGCACGTACTCAGCTTTTGCTGGAAAATAGGTGGCAAATCCCAGTGATTCTCTCCACATACAGTGTGCAGCATTCAGCTGTTCTGGCACTCAGGCTAATGGAGGTCTCCTGCCTTTTCTTTCATGTCCCATTGATTCATCTCAGTAAACCCACATGCTGTGAGATTGTTTTTTGGGGTCTGTTTGAGGGGCCAGTGTTTCATTAAACTGATAATTGCAGATTCGGCAGTTGTGCAGGTTTCCACAACAGCAAACAGAGGCAGAAGTGCTCTGAATGTGCTTTGTTTTGGATGCTGAGCTTTTTGTGACTGAGGCTTTTCACTGGAAGGGAGTATGAATGGTCACATATGAAGTATTTGAAAACAATCCTTGTCAGCTGTTGATTAAAAGTGTTGTGGTTTGGTATATAGATACATTTGCTATAACAGGCTAGGAAAATCCCGGATTTCCAGCTGATATAAATCATCAAGACTTCATCACCATCAGATCAGTGGATTGTCAGTGAAATACGGTCTTTAGAACACAACCTCACCCAACTTTTCCTCCTCTACCTTTCCACTCAAAACTCTGTCCCCCATCCCAGCAATCTCTGGCAATTTCCACATGGAAGCTTTTGCTCAGCACGCTGCGGTTTAGAGCTTATCCACAGAAGGTGTTTTCCCCATAGCTGACATGGGAGTGGTGGCAGAAAATGAGACTTCATATAGTTTGGTACATACTCATAGTATTTAGTACAGTCAGTATTTAAAATGTCTTTAGGGTCTCAGTATTGCTGATCTAAAAATCCTTCATCTGAGTAGGCTTATTAAAATCAATAGAGCTCTTCTTCTCACACTTAACCTCGACTATTTGTCCAGTCCTTCTTAAAACAGGGGGAATCTGTGTCTCCAAGTCAAGGGATGAAGGCTGTTGGAGATGACATTGGTGTGAAATTACTGTCTAGATGCTATGGATGTTTGCTCTGAGACCCTTTACTTACTACAGGCAAAATTAATCTAGGAAAAGCATAACTGTTACCAGTATAATATGCTGCCTTTATGTTTTAATACGTTATTAAAAGGTCATTCAGTGGAGCTTTACTGGAGCTTTGCCATTGTTTTACAGATACTGTGAACAAGGATACTGAACCCAAAGATCCATATCCCATTCCAAGAAAGATTATGGCTGAACCAGACTACATAGATGATGACAATCCTGAATTAATTAGACCTCAGAAATTAATTAATCCTGTGAAGTCATCCCGGAATCATCAAGATCTCCATAGAGAACTGCTCATGAATCAGAAAAGGTAAGAGTCTAAAAACCACTTGTGCCACCCTCCCGCCCCAAACACACAGCTTGAGTTTTAGTTTCATCAAAATGACATTCTACCCAAAACTCAGCAGCTGGTTCACATCTTGTAGATGAAAGGAGTCTGATTCTTAACCGTGGCATTTATTTGTGTTGGAATCTCAGTTGCTCTCCAAAAGCTTGTTTTAAAAGACTTCTCATTCTAGTTTTGTGAATACTCACAGAGGGTCAGTTTCAAGGGGAAGCCGTTCAGTTCTCCCCTGTCACATTTCAGACGGGCTACCTGGGCACTGGAATTTGTCTTGAACTCTTAATTTAGCAAAATGTTGTCAAGTACTTTATCAGTTACCAACAGGATGATAAAATCTGTGGGTTTTTCACCATTCCCAGTTTATGGGGCCACTTTTAAATCAAAGAAATCCTGTATTTCAGATGAATCTGTTCTCTCCTTACATGCTCTTTCTTGCAGCATGGTATGACAGTCTGATGCCTGCTCCACTGCTGCACAAGTGTTTCTTTGTGTGTTATGCAAATGCTACTTCTTTCATTCTGGGATGGGATGCACAGCTGTTGCTCTGTATATTGCTTTTAGAGATATAAATAACTGGAACTTGATTTCATCAACTTCAGAGAGAAAGGCACTTGGCCCAGAGATAGCTGAAGTTCTCTTATTAAATCTCTTCAACAATGTAAGACTCATTTAGAAAATGCAGAAAGAAAACAGCCACCAGGCCACACAGTGGAGGAAAAGCCACCAAGCTTATTGCTGCTCCTCCATTTAAACAAACAGAAACTCACTGTGATGTAAACCAGTGATTTGGTGCATAGAAGCCACCCAAAATGGACTTTCCAAACGCAAGGGCGTGGGAATCCACTAAACAGAAGGGAAATAACAGTATTTCAGAGTGCATTTGAGAATCAAGTTGCTGGTTGAGACCAGGACCTTGAGAAGGGAGAGGAGGAAGCTATTGCTTTGGCTAGTCCAGCACAACTGGATTTATCTATTTGGCAGGAAGAGTCACATTATAAAATTCCTCTCTGGCAGGGTAGGATTTTGAGGGGAGAAGGTGTATTTCTACTTGTAATAGTAAAATCCTCACAAAAGCTAGGCTTAGATACTTAACTCCAAATGTATTGTATAGACAATGCAGCCTTTCTTCAGTGATGGAGTAGAAATGTTCTACAGAATACCAACTGAATTGGAAGAAACTGGCCTAAATAGGTGTTTGTCCTATTTTTCATTAATGAGATTTAACATCAAAGTCAGTTCCTAGCACCAGGAAGTTTATAGTCATTGAAAGAAAGATAGTCAAAGTTTCCCAACTTATGATCTATTTCTAAAGGATGTGGAGGCTGCAATAAATTAAGGCTATTTCTTTTTTCCTTCTAAGTTTATGAAAGCATAAAGCTCTTTTAAATAGTTATGGAGCTCTTTTCTTGTGGGGAGAATATCCTATTACGCAGACGAGTTGTGCAGCCCTCAATACCCATCTTCTCTTATTGTGAGATTTTGATTAGCTGCAGCTGTTAATTTTAGATTCCTATTTATTGGCACAGAAATGAACTATATTGAGGGTTTCCACCAGCAGAAAAAAATTGGTGTTTTTGAGAAGAGGGTTAGTCTTTTTGTGCTTCATGCCACTGTACTGGCTCTGATATGAGGCTTTTTGGTAATGTAGGTATTAGGCTTGTGCTCTGCTTTGTTACTGCAATCTGTCATGTGTATGGAGGACTTTTAGTGCTTTTGTAGAAGTCTGCTTAACAAGCACCTTATTTTGTTGTGAAGACTCTGTAGGCACCAGCAGCTTTGCTTTTTGAGCAGTCAGCTCTAAACAGCCATTTCTGGATCTTAGAATCATAGAATCAGCCAGGTTGGAAAAGACCTTTAAGATCATCAAGTCCGACTTTTACCCCAGCACTGCCAAGTCCACCACTAACCCATGTCACTAAGGGCCTCGTCTACATGGTTTTGAACACTTTCAGAGACAGTGATTCCACCACTTCCCTGGGCAGCCTGTTCCAGTGCCTGACAACCCTTGCAGTGAAGGCGTCTTTCCTCATATCAAATCTAAACCACCCCTGGTGCAGCTTGAGGCTGTTTCCTCTGGTCCTATCACTTGTTACTTGGGAGAAGAGACCAGGCACCTCCTCGCTCCATCCTCCTTTCAGGTCGTTGTAGAGAGATATCTTAGAAGATACTAGCCAGTGCTGCTCTGATCATTCTCCTTGCCTACTGTGAGCAGTTGAACTGATACAGTTATTTACTTGCAGAAATGGTAGTTGTTTGGGGCAAACAAAGATCCAGGTAGTGGTGCCTCAAGGCACTGGTCACTTACCTTAAGCTGGTTTTACTTATTAGAAGTCAGCCTCATCTCTGCAGATTATTGACCCTGTCCCTTCCAGAGGTTTTAACACCCAACTTGTGTTCTAGCACGCTTTGCTTACTCTACATCAAAGCTTTAGGACTATTTCTTTAACCAGAACAATCACTAGGAGGTGTTACAAGACTCCCAGTTAATCCAGTAGCTGCCTGTTTGTTGCTTTTCCTTTTCACATATGATTGACATTACAGCTCTGACTACCAACCCCACTGACTGAGAGGTTGTATTTACTTCTGTGGGTCCCCTTTATTATAGCTACAGCACATGAAATCATTGTGCCTCTGCTTTGTTATGCTGCAACCTTGCTGAATAAAAGCAGGAACGAGTAATGTTACTTAGCAGCTTGCCTCTGGTTTGTGGCTGCCTTGAATTGTTAATTTCCAACATGGAAGTTTCCACTGATTCAGCTCTCAGTGATCCAGTAGTAGTAGTAATACAAAAATCACTCCAGCTTTTCTCTGCCTGACTTAAGTTTTATGTGTTAAATTGTAATTAAAATAGCATGAAACATTAAATATGAACACAATCTCACAGCTTCTGTTGCATTCAGGCCATGAGATTTATTATGAGAAAGAGGGAACAGCATTTGGTGTCGCTAAATATTTGATTTTGTTGTCAGGGTATGTACAGGGCTACGTGTGTTGCATAATATATGGAGTCATTCACAGATGTCACCATAAAATGGCATTTTAATGTAGTATTGGACATGCTGTCAGATACACATATTATGGAAGAATCGGGCAGCCACAGATGTGTAGCACGTAGGGAAGGGGAAAAGCAGCTTTCTGAAAGCTTATTGAGAAGCTCTTAAAGTTGAAATAAAAAATGGTTGATGTTAAACTTAATGCTGGATGTTCTTACATAATAGTCTTCACAGGGAAGGCAACAATAAAGAAGGCATATTTGGGATCTTTCTGCTCTGACTTAAGTGACGCTGATACCTGAATAACAGGGAGAGCTTTGAATCTTAACATAACAAACCTTGAAGACATGATAGCATAACAGACAGAAAAGAAATAGCTGAAGTCACAAAAATAAGTAGGGGTGAGTGTGCATCTCTGTGTGTGCCTGTATAAATAAAGTCATGCATCTTCCCAAAGAGTAAGCTTTCTCATTTTAGAGTAGTTGGCTCGGAAAGCAATTTGTTCTGAGCAGACTTGAAACATGCACTTGATGTAGTACCTACAGCCTTGTGAGAGGGAGAATCCTCCAGCCTTTGTCTGGTCTCCAAGGTGACTGCAACTTTTTTCTTCTGGATTTGTGTTGTCTTTAGGCTCTTTTGAGTGCAGCCTGGCAGCTTGCACTGGAAATAGCTTCACAAACAGGCATGGGTACAGCTCTCACACTTTCAAGCAAGGGCAGAATCCAGGGTTCCCAGAGCAGCGTGGTGAAATCCAGAGGGAGACCACTCTTTAGTGCTGTCCATGCAAACTTCTGTGGGCATAATACCCTGCATAGGACTGTCTGAACACCATGTCCCCAAGTTTTCAGCCAGCAAGAGAAGGCTTTTTATCCAAAATTTGTTTCTGGCTCTGCTGGTCTTGATTTGTGATGCGTTTTTTAATCTGTTCTTCTAAAATTGAGAGGGATAGAGGGAAGACTAAAGATTAAAGTCAAAATAATGAATTATACAGGAGAAACACTAGCATGCATGTTAAAGGGAAATACCCTCAGTAATAACATGGCTTAAATTCTAGTTTAAGGAATTTGCCTAGAAACCAGGTCTGTATGTTTTTTTTCCTTTTAAGTAATTATTAATATTCTAATATATCTAAATAGGCAACTACCTTACTTTATAAAACCTGCCTACACAATCCTATGTGAATTTCTGCTGATTAAACCTGATCTCTTTCTCCCCTGTTTCCCCACCACCACCACTCCTCCCATTGAATTTGCAGGGGTCTTGCACCTCAGAACAAACCAGAGCTACAGAAGGTGATGGAGAAAAGGAAACGAGATCAAGTTATTAAACAACAAAAAGAAGAGGAAGCACAAAAGAAGAAATCAGACCTGGAAATAGAGCTACTGAAACGGCAGCAGAAACTGGAGCAGGTAAGATGGGCAGTAAGACTACTTTTATTCATCTACATCTGAGCTACACACTTGAGGCTCTCTTTGCAGACAGGAAAGAAGCAGCAGCTGATTTCTGGCACATTTCCTCTGATCAAATGCAGATATCTTTTTAGGATGAGTCAAATCACACTTGGTGATTACCTATTTGTTGTTACTTACTATATAGGAACTCTATGGTGTCTGCCTTTGGTCAAATGAATCCTGCATCAGGCAACAGGAATGTGTGTGGAGCACTGACCTACCTTATTCAACCATTGAGACTGTGGTGAACTAGTCAACATTCACAGTCTGACGACACAACCCACTAAGAATGGCTGTTAGGCTGTAGTGCATCAAAACTGGTGGATACTTAGTGAATTAGATCAATTGGTTTTTTCTCCTGGGTTGCATAAGAAACTAGATGACTTTAAAAGATCTTTTGTAGCTTTAAAATGTGTGAGCCCATTGCTCTTTCTGAATGAAGGGGAAGATCCTCCAGCCCTGGGTAAGGAGATGATGTGGAAATGGAGTTCATTGTGGTGAAGGTTACTGCTAGGCACAGGGCCAGCCAAGTGTGTCTGTGCCTCTTAAGGCACTTCAAGTACCTGCAAAGAAATACCTCTACAGTGAACCAAACGCCTCATCAAAGAAGTCACTGTGCTGATGCAGTGTTTGGTTTTAAATAAATGAATGCTTTACAACAGTATCTCCTGGTTTTGTCGATGGAAATCAATTGATTGTGGGTTTTAAGTGTATCATCCTGTCACTTTCCCGTTCAGCTCTTAAGGGCCCAGCTTCAAATGGTTCAGTTTGTGGGAAGATTTGATTTGAAACTGAGCCATCCAAGGACATAGGTAGAGTAGAAAACTCTTTTAGCAGAGGAAAAGCCTGCCCATTGCAAACAATGTTGCGACTCTGTAAACATGATAGGAAGGGCATTAATTGACAACACTACTCATGGAGGAACGTTGTCGTGATTTATTGTAACAAGATATGTCCCTTCCCAGTGAGCCAGAGACAAAGGAGAGATTATTTAGGTGAGCTGTATGTGGTCCCCATTAATCAGGGAGACCTTGGTCTGCTAAAAAACAAAAGCCTCTTTGAGGAGCTTTTGTTAGTTTTCTGAAGGATTGTTGCTTCCTTTCTGCCAGCTTTCTGCCTTCACTGAGGATTGCTAAGCAATCCCTGTTCTGTGTGAAGTAAGCCCTGTTCTCTATGGGCACTGTACAGCATACTACAGTAATATTGCCCCAATAGTAGTTACTCACATTGTAATTTCAAGTGTCTGCATGGGCAGGAGCTCCAGTTGGGTTAAAAATGCCAGTGAATGGGCTCTCAAAAATGAACAACCAAGGGCCAAGGAGGATTTTTCTTTCTCATTATTGCTTTCTGTGATAGACAAAACAGACACAGCAAAGGAGGCTCACGTTCGATACAGAAATCCATACCTAGACACTCAGAAATAAATCCTGCAAGTGTGCTCAGTAGTAGCTCTTGGCATGTGTTCTCCCACAAGGCACATTCTTCCTTGTCCTGTTGCAAAAGCCAGAGATGGGAATTATTGTTGCTTCTTTAATGAAGATGTCCAGGAATTTCTCCAGAAATGCTTCCCCTTGGTTTTGTGCTCGGCTTGCAGAGTTTGTGGACATGTGGAATGAGCTAGAGCCAAGGATTTAAAAAGAGCTATCATTTAGGAGAGAAGATACTCCTAAAGAAATGCAACTTTATCTTTTGCATGAGAGGAAGAAAGGACGCAGTTTAAAGCGTTCTGCGTGGCCAGTTATTGAAACCTTTAGGTTTTTTGTCTTGTATTTCAATGATCTGTTTTATATACTTCTGTTTTTCCCATGTGATTCACTTTTAAGCTGGAACTGGAGCAACAGAAGATGCAGGAAGAGCAGGAAAACGCACCTGAATTTGTCAAAGTCAAGGGCAACTTGAGGAGGACGGTCCAGGAAGCAACAGAAGCACCAGACTCCTAGAGCCAGCGCCTGCTAAGACTTCCAGCTTTCCTGCAGAGAGAGGCTTTTGCAAGTTGTCTCAGTTTTGCCCCTCGAGAGGAAAATAACAGCATCCAGCTGACACCTCCTGAAGATGAGATTTGTAATTCCTGGGACGTGTGGATTAAAAAGACAGCACCGTAAACAGATCGACTTGCCAAATGCAGTCCTGAGATCAATGGACAAGGAGCCCGTTTGTCAGTTCAGTGTCATGGACCAGTCTGATGTGCTTACTCAGAGATTTCAACCAGGGATACTAGAGAAACTCCTTTAGTGTTGCACTGCTTTATCTCTTGTGATCCTAGTTTAGTGGAGATACACAGATCATATTTTGCTTTAAAACAGAACAAAAATCCTCCTGTGATATCTTACAAAGCTTTGCTGTGCAGGTAGATTTTCTCCATCTAGACCTTGTATATCCTAGAAGAATTTGTGTTTATTGGAATTTCAATCAGATCTGGAGGGATATGAGGTATGTTGATTGCTGATGCCCATCCCCACTAGGATAGGCAGGTGTAGGCAAGATGAGAATGCTTAAAATTCACCAGCAGTGAGAAATTAAGCAGCCTTAAATCCCATTTCTCCCTGTTTGGCATATAGAATTTGGGCTATGAAAGAGCAGAAATCTGATGATCCTCTCACCAGGGAGAACCCAGAAGCTGATTTATCTCTATCTCCAAACTTACACTGCTGTGTACAGGCCTGTGCAGTGCTACCTGTGAATTTACCTCTCAATGCAAAATAACCTATCTTCTACTTGCTGTCGTGGCCTTTCTCCTCCAAGGACATGCTGATCTAAGGACAGTGTTAACGCATTACTTGGTAGTGTTTAAACTCATCTGCTGGAACTGCAATCAGGAGACTGATCTGTCATCAGTTCGTGCTCTTTGCTTGCAGGAACTTGGTGCGGTTTCTGCAACAGAGCGGTGTTTAAGCCAGACCAAACTGATAATTAGTATCTACTGAGATGGATTTATTTTTTTCCCTAAAGTGAGGCATAAAATGTAATTCATTTTACCCCAGCCTTTCTTTAGCCTCAAGAAAGAAGGGAAGCGTGTTACCACTGAGTCTTTGGGTCCAATTCTGTCACTTTCTGTCTTTCCACAAATTGCCCCTGTGACTTGCCATTAGATATTGCTCAGCTTGCACAGGGATGGAATAATCTGATCCTTCATGCTTATGACTACTAGTCATCCAGGAAAGCCTGGGATGAGGAGAGGGGAAGAGATTACTCATGTAGGATTATAGAATTGATTTCTTACCTGGTGTGAATGGGTACAGATATCTTATCTTCAGAATCTGAGGGGAGAAATCCTCATCTTCCTTGCTTGGCACAGTCCTAGCTCTCACTGAACCTGTGTTCATCCCTATCACCTGAGGATCTAATCCTAGTCTTTGCTTTAGGATGCTAAACAAAATAATTTCTACTTTGTAATTACATTCCATATAACTGTTTGAGAACACTTTCTGTTGATATCAAGAGTGGCATGTTTGTGTTGTAAAGGTGGTGGTGGAGGGTTTGTTGCTTTGTTTCCAGTTCCTTTTCCCTTTCCTGTAAGCACTGGATGGTTTAAATTCAATTTCAGCATAACACTTGGGACAAAATGCTCACAATTAGAAGTGTTTCCTAGATACAGACTTCCAGTTGTCAAGATCCAGGTGTTTTTTATGAGGACAGAATCAGATTGAGAGTAAATTGAATTGTGATAAGTGGATTGCCATTGATTTAGACTTGCAGCATGACTCACATCTAGAAGATTAAATCTGGTCTACCAGACTCTTCAGATTATGGACATACAACAGACAAAGGCCAAATGTAAGACTCTTCCATGTATTTTCTCTACAAAGGAACACCCTGAGTGCTGCAGGTTCTTCCCCTCTCTTTTTCCCTTCTTCTGGAAGGAGAAGTTCTTCCTTTCTGGCAGCACAAACACTTGCACTGATTGAGTTTGTTTCATGTTGTTGAGACAGCACTATACACAAGCCTTCCATGCCACGTTCGTGTGTTATCTATCTTAGGCGCTCCCAGCCTACCAGACTTCATGCCTCTTGCTTTCCACCCCACAATTAACCTTCTGCTCAGTATGGAATTGTCTAGAAGTTGGTGAGGAAACCCTCCTCTGGCTTGAGCAGACCATTTCCCCTTGGTGAACATGGCAACCCTACCATGCATGCACAGTGAAATGAAGTTGGCATAATCCCAGTGGCACCGGAGTCAACGGAGGACGAGGACCTCTCCTTGGCTTCAGGGAGTGTGTTGGGTGAGGCCCCTCAAGGCTGAAGGCATTCTGCTTTCTCTCCATGTTAGCTTGTGATTCAGGGTAGAGTTTCTCTTTCTGAAACACAGGAGGCCAGAAAACTCCCTTGTACATACAGCGTGCCGTAGGTTTTTGTTTTCAGTTGGAATTAATTCTCTGTGTGAACAGAACATCAACGTGTGTGTTAGAACATCTTTGAATCCTGCTGACCCTTTAGTCTAGAAATCCCGGCCACCTTCATGTCGATTTGACAGGCAAAAGCTTGTCTTTAAAGTCAGGATTGGGCTAGAACAGGCAACCCTCCCATGGGTGGTCAGCTAGTCACACCAGAAGTGTCCTGTGCAGCTGCTCAAGTAAGAAACTGCTTGTCAGTGAGCATAAGCAGCTCCTGATCTGCCCTTTAGCCATATGGGGTTTGAAGCAATCTGGCAAATACTTCAGTGATTTGAAAATGGCTTACTTACCACTTTGTACTTTTTTAAGACTCTTGCTTTTGATAGTATAGCAGTAAATTTTATAGCATTTTTTGTGGCTTTAACCTTCTGTTAATATCTGCACTTGTTTGAGTGTACATATATAAATATATATAAATATAAAAAGGGAGCCTTAATGGATTTGTTTTCATAATTTAATATTTTTTGTATTTGCTCTTGTATAATTGTTTTTAACTAAAGGTATGATGAGAATGAGGGTGGAATACTTAGAACCAAAGTTATGCTTAATAAAACCTACTACATGCTTGGCATACGTGGTGGTGTCTGTCCTGTCCTGCGGGAAGCAGAACCTCGGGCACTGTGCTGAGATACCCAGGTTATTTAAACTTCTGCAATGCAGGGGGAAGAAACAAGATCATGGTGGCTTTTGGCTCCTTAAAGCTGCATCCATGTGTGTGTACACAGAATTATTGGCAGATTAGTTGGCAGAAGCAGCTTGTTGTGTCTCTCAGTCTTATCTTTTGACTATTTTTGATGCAGAAAGCTGCTCAGCTAACACAAGGTGAGGCAGAGCATGAGGGAAAACTGACGGAATCAAATAACTGGAAATCATTCCCTATCCTGCTAACTTCATCAGAGTGCACAAAATTCCACCTTGGAATTGTTTGCATTGAAACAGCTCCATCCTAAAAGGATGAACCTGGTTGCGGGTTCAGTCCTGCAAAGGTCTCTTTAATTTGGCCAATGCTCAACCCTGGGGTTCTAGTAGGAAAAATCTGAGTAAGTAAAAGCAAGTGCACGTGCAAGTGATTTGGTGGGTTAGGGTCAGATTGCTCATTGCTAAGAGCAAAATTCGGTGTTGACAGCAGACAGAGAAAATGAGGATGGGGAGGGACAGAGCTGGGAGAGGTGCGGGATGTCTGCTCTCCACAGAGATCATCAGCTCTTACTGCTGAGCACTGGTCAGCCAGGGGCAGGTGGTGATGGAGGGATGCAGGTTGAGACGGAGTCAGGAGGAGGGGAAGAACAGCGAATTCAGAGCAGATGTCAGGAAATGCTTTTTCCTTCAGGAACTCCCAGCGTGTGGAATGGGTCCTGGCAGTGCTGCGGATGCAACGGCGCTGGACCCGCTCCAGGAGCTGTCAGACATGGAGGAGCTAAAAAGAACAGAGCTAATGAGGGGTGGGTTTCTGTGGCCTGCTGGAGACGCTGCCCTGCGCTCTCCTACCTCGAGCACATCCAAGTGTGTTTTGAATTATCCTTTGATATTTCACTCCAGCTCCAGAAAGCAAACAGTGAGGGCACGTGATCTGCTTTTGTAGCATGTCCAGTGGAAAAAGTGATCTTCCTTTTGTATCTTGCATTGAGCTAATGCATTTTGTCATGTGGCTTTGCAGGGGTTGGTCTGCTGGGGGCTTTGCTTGTGCTCCTGTGGCCATATGCAGATGGGTTGTGTCATGCTGTAGCTACGTGGGAAGTACTGTGAGGTCCTTTAGGTGCTGTTACAGGGTCCATGGATGGCATTCCTAATCTAAAATGGCTGACGGCACTTAAGAAAACAACTGAGCAAGATAGCTGGAGACTGAACAGCTTCAGTGGTGTGGTTGCCACACATCAAACTTGATGTCTTTAGGGTGAAGAATGGGAGCTGGATCCTTAAGACATGGCAATAGGAAGAACACAGACACTTAAGATCTGGAGGAGGTTCTACTTGAAATCTTCCATCTGTTTGAGTGAAGGTTTGTGGTGCCTTTGTAAATGTTAAAGATGACTCTTCTCGGTGGAGGTGGCAGAGACCAGAGCCAGAGGAAGTATTTGGGGATGGTAATAGGGCACAGACATCCTGACTCCCATTTCAGTGCTTTTCTTCAACAGCCCATCCTTTGGCATTGCTTTAGACCTAGGTAAAGGCTGCACTGAGTCTATCACTGACTGTGTTGCCTCTCTGAGGTTAGATGGGGATTGCTTCTATTTGTCTTTGGGTACCCAGGGGTCCATTTTGCTGTACCTCAGATAGGTGTGTTCGAGCTGATCTCCCTTTCATTATATCACTGCGGGGAAACCAGCCCTGTGGGGCACAGTTCCCTTCCTTTGCGAAGGAGCCTGCAATGCTTGTCTTGGAGGGAATGGGAGGTGAGTCTCCACAGTAGTGGTGAGGGAAGTAGGACATAAAGCACATGAGAGGGGGCTCCAAGAGCCAGAGTTACCCACTATAGCTCTAGTACTTAATTATCTGAGTAATCATTTTCGGAGTTAACTTCTATTATGTACCCAATCTTTCCGGTGGATGGCATGAGCAATTTAACACAGATTGAGGCTGGCACCGGGAAACTGCAGCCTGATTAGGTGGGAAGCAGAAACATGCTGCTTTCCCCCTCTTCAGCTGTTCGGGAACACATCTTTCATAATGCAATTGAAATGCCAAGTCTGCTTCTTTGTGCTCAGAAATTAAAGAGCACCCAGCAAGCCTAAGCTCTCAGCAGGGTTCATTGGAAACGGAATCACTTGGTATAGAAAGGCAAAGGGAGCTGGATCCTACCAGCATAGCAACCCAGCCCATCTGAAATGGGTTATGTCCAACAGGATATCTGCCTTTAAAACTCCTTTGGTAAATGAAGCCTGGAAGATTCTCCAATAAAAAGCTGATCAGGGATTTGCTTTCATCAGTAGCAGCAGGAAAAGAGAGAAACCCTTTAAACTGGTACCGTCAAACCTGGAAGGTCCTTCTTCACTGCAGTCCTGGGCCATGAGGAGGATGCAGTTTCAGACCTCATCTTCATCCAGCTTTATTTCTGTGCTAATCCTTAGGTGAATTCTCCCCTGTACAATTCCAAGGTGCAGAGCTCAGCAAAAAAGTGGCTTTTGGAAATTTGCTAAGCATTTTTGGCCTTATCCTTCAC